CGATCACGTGTTATCCCGCTTTCCTTGTCATCAAGTGAACTTCTGGACCAAAGTAATTGCTGTTTTGGTGATGATACAAACTGGTGTGTCCATCTTGAAAACAATTTCTTTGGCATTCTGTGATTTACGAGCTTGGAAATGAAATAGTTGTCCATTCAACATCAACAAGCAATCATGCCACTGAATAAATGGCAGGCGGTCATGTAAAATCATTACAAAAGTACATTCCTAACCTGGTCTAACCTGTTCGACGCCTACCTACGCTTAAGGTTTGGATCAGTTAGTTTAGAAAAGGTCTCAAAACGAAACAAAACAAAACAAAAAAACACACACACATCTATATATAGGGCATAGCACAAACCGCTGGCCCAACATTTATGAGGTTCATAACCTGTATCAGTATTGTTCACGTCTGTAGAAGGCCTAAGAGTAATAACATTTTGTCCTAAATGTAATAAAGTCCTAAATGTAATAACAATTTGCCCTAAATGTAATAAACTCTCAAGTTGACAATTACAGTAATAGTGAGTTTACGCAACAGGACGGCGAGAAGAAGAGGACGGCAAATCCCTTGTGCGTGACGAACGTGACAAGGCCATCACTTGCGTGTTTTGACGTGAACTTCGCTAACATCAATGTTTTCTGGTCTTTTACAAAAAGATCTGTTTAAAAGAAAGTGAAGTTTGGCGAAAAGTTAATTCGAACAAAATTACTGTCACGCTTTTCACACAAGGTTTTCCGTCTTCTTTCCTCTCCCGTCCTGTTGCGTAAGTTCACTAATAACTCGAATAAGCGCCGCCCTCAAATAAGCGCCGCATGGGGGGGGGGGCGAAGTTAATTAGCGCCGCGACGCTTATTCGTGTAAATACGTTACTAAGTGGTATTATCATGGTATTAAGCTCCGCTCCCAAATAAGCGCCGCATTTTTGGAGAAAAGTTTATGAGCGCCGCGGCGCTAATTTGCGTAAATTCGGTACATTTCCTTATGCACTGTGAAACTTAACGTTTACAAATAAATTGCTTGTAAACGCCAAAGTAACAGTATTTTTCTAAAAAAATCAATATTTAAGCAATAGAAAGCTGTTTTCCTGTGTGTGCATAGCCTGATATAAACACTCGAGGGGTTGGGAGAATTCGAGACAGTTATCCAAACCCTCGACGTCGTCTCGGGTTTGCATAACTGTCAAGAACTCTCCCAACCCCTCGAATGTTTATATAGGCTATGCAAACACAGGAAAAAAGTTTTCTATTGCTGTTAAAAAATAACTTTCCCGAGGAAAAAGAAAAACTCTTTGATTAGGTTACTGATTAAAAGAGAAATTCTTACCAGTCGCGAAGTCTTGTACTGGAAGCTTAATGTACGTGAAATCAGTTCTTGTTCTGCAATAAAGATGCTTTCCATAAAAGGGCTTTTCTCGCTTAAAATGTCAGCTTAAGCGAAAAAAAAATTGACACAGCATATTTGTAAAGATTTTCCAAGTCTCATCCGTCGAGGGAATGGGTAAATAAAGTAACTTTGTCGAGTTTTCAACTCAAAAACGTTTTGAAATTCTTGCTTGTGTGGTCAGCGCACGAGGAGCAAAACATCTTGACTCCACACATGTTTACATACTCTCATGCAAACACATCTCTCGGCCAATCGGAGCGCGCGCGTACTACCTTACCTTAGTTATTTATAAACGTTGTTATTAGCTGTGCAGTAGTCTTTAGGGCCTGTTTACATGGAGGTGGGAGACACCAGATAGGTATGCGGCGGATCGCCCCACCTATCATGTAAACGGGATCAAATTAAAATGAGAGACCAAAGCGGGTTACCTCACCTACCTGGGGTCCCCCACCTCCTTGCAAACAGGCCCTTAGACTCCTCGTTTTTTGTTCTTAATATTTTAGCTGATTAGATCTCTAGAGATCCAGCGTTGACAAGCAACAGGATCTTCGTCCACGGTTTTTTGCAGTAAATTTCTTTAACAAAAATGAAGTATGAAAAACTTTTTAAGGCTTACAAGTTTTTTCTTTTTTTTTTTTTTTTGTATTGTGTCCCTTTACAAGCAATTTATTTGTAAACGTCAAGTTACACAGTGCATAAGGAAATGTACCGAGGCTTGCTAATTTTTTCCTCCAAAATGCGGCGCTTATTTGAGAGCGGCGCTTAAAACCATAGTAATACCTCTTAGTACCGTATTTACGCGAATAAACGCCGCAGCGCTTATTAAATTCGGCAAAATGCGGCGCTTATTTGAGTAATTACCGTAATTTGCAACTTAAGAGTTTATTACATTTAGGACTTTATTACATTTAGGGTCGTTTATTACATTTAGGCCTTTTACACACGTCCTTTCACTAATGGCACAAGTCAATGTCAAAAATAATGCATGTCCCCTCCGTTACTCTGCAGTACCTCATTCGCTTAAGTTAACCATTTACCAGAACAATTTTCATTGTACCTTAGTGTTTCCATCCTTTTTCCACTATTGATAATACTTGTGAAAACACTACATCCGCAGCAACGGCACTGATCATAACAGAAATGATTTCGTCTCGACCCGTCAGGGTATCAGGAACGCGCGCGGGAGTACAAGATTAAGGAATGAAAGACGTTTCGTACATTTTACTCTATGTATACTACAAATCAGGACAAAACTTTACAAATCTTTGTTTATAAACAAACAATTTGGCCCATAGAGTGACGTCATGGCACAAAAATTCGGCAACGTCTAAAAATCTAGCCGGAAAACACAGATACATATTTCAGACAATCAGGGACAAAAGTAGTTGACACACTTGTTTAAAACGGGTGCTTTTAACAAACCTTTAATTCATTTATCATTTCATTCCTTTTAAACGAAGTAAATCCCCTCACCCCCCGAATCAATGTTGTCTGAAGTAAAAAAAAAGACCTGAGGGTCCAAAATTCAACATTGATTTTGGGGTGAAGGGGTTGGGGTAGACAGGAGAAGTCGATAAGTATATTCACTATGCTAAAAGGGGCCATTTTACGGAAGTGTGTCAACACTTTTGTCCCTCATTGTAGCTTTTTTTTCATGAGAACGAAGCTGATGTAGAAATTGTAACCTTACCTAGGATGATAATTCTAGTCAGTGTTTGAAATTTTAACGCAGATCACAATTGAAGACAAGAATGAACTGGGAGAAATTCGAGAGGTTTTCCCCAAAAAATTTAACGAGCACATCCTTCGACAATGACAACAAACATACCTTGAAAATCTTCTTTGCCTTTAGCAGTTTTTTTTTTACAAGGACCAACGTAGGAAAGATGGAAACGACTTCGAGGCAGACACAGTGTCCGGTTTCCAAAATACCCCAGAGCTAAAAGAGATAAAACTTACAGTGCTCTTAGTTTTGACGGAAAAACCTTTTTCAAGATGGCGAATTTGTTTACACCTTTCCAGAAACCCTTTGTTATGTGCTATTGTTTTCGTGAGCCAATAAAACTTTCTTTTTTGACGCCTGTGAAATTACTGTCAAAGCGCGTCCTGCACTTGTTTCCGGTCCCCCAAACTGGAAGAAGCCATATAATAAACACCTTATTAGCCTGTGTTTTTTCGGTCGGTACGGTAAATTACGGATCCTCGTTTTTTTCTATCGATTTATGGCCCGCGCACTTCGCGCTTGGGTCATAAATCGATGGAAAAAAAAACTCTGTCCTTAATTTACAGTACGGTACGAAAACTCGGCTAATAAGAGGTATTTATGAAGACAATTTATTTTGTTCCAACTTATGAGTCTGTAGACAAGATCTTATAGTATAAGTATTTAAATATAACTTAGGCTATCCTGATTATATAAGTAATATGTTTAGTATCAAAAACTGTGCCTATAATCTTCGAGGAACTGGTAGCAGATTCAATCAACCGGCCCCTAATACTACCTTTAGGCACAAATCCTTTCCTTATATTGCATGTAGACTCTGGAACCATCTACCTTCTCACGTTAGGGAGGCCCCCGATTTAAAGAATTTCGTTGGCAAGCTCAAAGAACTTAAGCTGGGCCTGGAAGTGTGTCCTTGCAATGTCTGTGCAAGTTAGATTGTTTAATTTGTAAATAGAATAGGTATTTAATGTTTTAATTTTAAAATTAATTTAGTTAATATATAATTTTTATTACGCACGTACATTTTTGTAACGAGCCTTCTTTAGGCTCACTGATGTCACGTGTTTAAATAAAGATTATCTTATCTATCTTATCTTAGTGTTTTCAGTGTTTTTAAAATTGAAAGTTAGCATTTTTCTTGATTTTGAAGGGAGGTGCTGTTGGGACTCAGGGAAAGAATTACCCGACCCAAAACACTGAGGATGTGTGCATGAGGTATTTTTCTTGCTATTGTAAGTTGTTTATAAACCAATGTCCACGGAACTGCTGTTTATCACCCATTGTGTTGTTGGTGTTGGAACAACACCATCGCACCTTCTCATCATAACAATGCATGTTTGGTGTATATGCCGGCTAATTATCCTATATTCTTCAGACGGCCTAGGATCAGGCGTTATAAATGCCCCTCCGCATATTATACCAAGACAATTTCTCCGTTCCTTCCATTGCTAATTGTTGATTTGGTATTTAAATGGAATCCAGGACCCAAAGGAATACCGGTGATTGTTTCAACACGCAGTAATCATAACCGTGAAACTCAAATGTCATCTTCGTCGCGGAATATTAGCAATTTAATTGGCGTTCGTCGCTCATCTGTCTAGGCTCCCATTGCTGCTCCGTCTTAAGTCAAGTACTGGCATTAATGGAACCGCCCTGAATTGGTTTACGTCTTATCATAACAACAGTTCGGAACGAGTCTCGCTAAACGGCTGCACATCTGACAGTTTTAGGCTTCCTTATGGCGTTCCACATGGATCGCGTTTGGGGCCATTGCTATTTATCATTAACTCTAGCAAACTCTTTGAAGTCATCAAATTCCATCTATCTGAGGCACATGCCTATACTGATGAAACTCAGCTTTACCTGCCGTTTAGTCCTGACTCCACTACTAATCAGACAGATGCAGTCGTTGCCACGGAACGCTGTATATCGGACATTCGTACGTGGATGCTTACGGATAAGCTTAAATCTAATGACGACAAAACTGAGTTCATGTTGATTGGTGCGAAACAGCAACTTTCCAAAGTAAATATTGCTAGCCTTACCGTATGGAGCATTGAAATTGCTCCTCTCACTGTGGCAACAAATTTAGGGACATGGTTCGATTCTAATTTGAATCTCCAGGAACAGATCCATAAAACTTGCAAATCTGGGGTTTTCCATTTATACAATATTCGGCGTATCCGAAAGTATCTGTCTCTGGAATCTCTGCAGACACTTTGGTCCATGCTTTTATCATAAATCGTATAGATTACTGTAACAGCCTACTATTTGGTTTACCCTCTGTTCATCTACTTAAACTGCAACGCTTGCAGAATGCAGCTGCTCGACTTATATCTAATGTTCCTCGCACATTCACATAACACCAGGACTATGTTCGTTACATTGGCTTCCTGTCAAATTTCGTATTGATTCTAAGAGACTTTCTCTTATTTTTAAAGCTATCTTCGGTCATGCGCCTGGTTACTTGATTGACTTCATTGTTATTAAAGAACAGCCGCACTATAATCTCCGTTCAGCTAGCGGTCTTCAGTTATCTTAAAACATCCTAGTTTAAAACTGAAAAAGACTTCAGGGTATCGTGCTTTTTTCATCTGCTTCCACTAACTCATGGAACAATCTGCGCTGCGCCTTCACATCCGTCTTGGGCACAATTTTGAACATTTTAAATCTTTACTTAAAACGCATCTTTTTAGACTAGCTTTTCATATGTAATGTTTTTTACCTACTATGTAATATATTTAGTGTTTTTATTTACATTTTTAGCGTTGTTTACTTTTTAGCTTTAATTACTATGTTCATTTTAGCTTTTATTTTCTTTTAACATTTAAAGCATCAGTTGTTGCGCGCTTCTGATCATATTTACATGGAAAAGGTGCGTTATAAATTTTAAAATATTATTATTATTATCATTATTATTATTATTATTATTATTATTATTATTATTATTATTATATTATTAGTAGCACCACTGTGGGCATTACATTTTTATTCACAATGAAAAATCACACAAATCATCAAAAGTAATCAATGTAAACTCCACTCCACTCGGTACAACACATTTTCTGTAGGATTTCAAGCAAATGGCAGAAAAAAAAATGCTTTAGACCTTTTTATAAATTTTCTATTTATGTGGAGAGTTGAATGACTTTATTTACCTAAGCTGTGTTTTCCTCAACCCTCTTGATGCATAGGAAGGGCCACTGAAACTGGATGAGTGAAGATACACTTGTACTATTCAAAACTTCTCATAATTTATTCAAAGTATACGTACTAGTAAAATTTGATTGCTAAAAAAGCTTAATGCGGTTAATGCAGACTGTCGACTATTAGCAGCATTCGGCATGAGTAAATTATCTTAAAACGAGGTAAATGGGCTACCTACGGTAAGAGTTAATGTGTCTTCACATCTCCTTAATGTTAAGCAGGGGTTCAGACTCACAAAGCCTCCCTGAATTAGAACACACATTACACCCTAGCTGTTGTAAGATAACAATAAGTTATTGATAAGGCTTAGTGAACTTATCCCCTGAACTTTCCAGAGTCCAGGAATCACTGCAGCAATTTTTTTTTGGGATATCTAAGGAAATACATTCATCAAAAAAATGCATTCACACAGTAAAAATAACTTAATTGTGATCCACTGTGTTGGGGACTTAAATTGTCCACGGTGACCTTACTTATTTTTTTTCATTTACGTATTTTCCAGTCAATGATAGTAAATTGCATTTACTGGTAAAGCCTTTCGTTGTATTCCTAACAAACATGCAATCATGGGACCCTGTTCTGTGACAAGGACTAGGGTTGATGTTTCTTTGAACATAACTGACCCCTCACAAAAATTCTGATTTGAATCTTACTTGCCATTACACAAAGTTGTTCCATAACATAAGTTCCACACAACCTTACAGAAAGTTTAGGGCTGTTACCAGTTTTTTTTAATAGGGAATTTGAGCTTTTGTTATGTTGTTGGAGTATCGGGCTTCTAACAAAGTAGCAAAGGCTTCCATATTCTAATAGCCAGACAAAATCACTTACTCCCAACCCTTCATTTACTTTTCACTTTCAAATCTGCTGATTGCATTTAAAGAAATAATTATTTAAATAGAATTAGGCACAAGACAGGTTAAACGAAATTAATTGAGTCTTGTCGTCTTTTCAAATATTACAACAAGTTAAAACATTCATTACCTTTCTTCAAAACCTCTCGGAATTTCTTTTGTGACTTAAACATTTTTTTTCTGTCACAGCCAGTACACTTGAGTTGAATTCGAATTGGCCATCAAGCATTTTGGAATGTAAACAGCATTGAGTGAATAAGACGTCTACCCTACTTTCAATAAAACTTGTAATTAAGACCTGGCATTCCAAAGTCCACGCTCCCAAGCTTTGTTCACCAGGGGTTTTAACTTCCCTCACCTGAATTGCACATACAATAGAGTCAAAGATGCCGCTAGTGAACAACTGATGAACACATGCTTCGATTTAATTTTCCAGTTAGACATAACAGAGTGGCAAACTATCGAAAACAAATTATATGTCGCAGTTTATCTGGTCAGTTTTAAGGAATAGATACTAATCGCTCTAACTGAAGTGTGTTTAATTGTTCTGAGGGTGCTCACCGTTTCCTAGACTTGCCACAAGAGTAGTGGATAAGGGACCGGTTACTCCTTTTTTTTGTGGATTTAATTAACTTTTTAGTGGTATAAATTAACGAAGATGACGTCATGCATCTCATTAAGATGGGATGATGACATAGTTTAAATTAATGCCGGTGACGTTACGCAGGCTATTAAGATAGGATGATGTCATAGCTTAAATTAATGCAGATGACGTCATGCATTCCATTAAGATAGGATGATGTCATAGTTTATTTGTAGCTGGCAAGGAGCAAGTGACATCGGAATTTCTTAGAGTTGACGTCATCAAAAAAATATTGAGATCATAATCTATAAACAGAAAAGTTATTTTTGGACATTATCAGCTATTTGCTATAGTCTTCTGAGTGGATATTATAGAAACTGTTACGTGTTCAAAATAAAAGCGGGCAAAATTTGAACGTGTTATCTTTGCAGATAATACTAAATGAAAAATTTTAATCATTAAATTATTTTCACTAAAAGTCGGTTGTAAACAAAACCAAGACACGGAGGTTAACTGAAAAATCTTTACTTAAAAGAAGGGAAAAGGAGGTTAAGCAAAAGCGAAATCGTACTAATTTTTCGGGCAAAACATGAAAACGAGGTCGAAGCGAAGCGAAGCGAAAAACTGCCTATCAAGCAAAAATGTCAATCTTTGTTTACTTGACTCTGTAGAAAGTATTGCACGGAGTATAAAAATTCTATAGAAAACAACAGGTGGTTCTAAAGTAAACCCTAACTCTTTTGGTTATTGAATAAACTCCATTCTAGTAACTAATAAGTGCAACGTCTATTAAAAAATAAAATAGGAATAAGAGGTGCGATCGCCTAGCAACACATGTCTTCTTATTTAGGATATATAAACAAAACACACACACACACACACACATACTCAAAGTGGAGCCGAAAAATCTCTATTTCAATTTTGACTCACCATTACAAAAGCGTTTTCTCCGCTCTATCTCGAGGAAACTCAGCGCTTGATGAGCTTATAGTCTTGTCAATTCACGCGCCGTTAGCGTTAGTCAGTTAATTATGCGGGTTAACAAGCCCAAAGTTGAACAAAAATTAGTTGATCTCTACAGCTAGACCCAAGGGAGCACCTTGGTGTATTATTATATAAACAATTTTAAATAACTTAGCAAGGATCAATTAAAACACGCGACTAATAGCGGGGCGCGAAGCGCGCGTGGGACAGAGCCCCATACCCATAGATTATGGTCAACCTCTTTTCCTTTGGTTGTCACGTGATTGACCGACCGTACGCGTCTACAGATTGTACGGGTGGGTTAGGGGAGACTATCAAAAGGAAGGGAGGGGTGTCTCAGGCGTGTCTTGCCAAGTCCACATCTTTTACACTGGACATTCACAATATGGTCAATTGACAGCTGTCAAAACAGGATAGCCACTGACCAGTATCCCATGACCATATCGCGGGCTCATGTGATTTATTTGGAAGCTGTCCGCTGACCAGTTAATTATTTTACTAGATCGCGATCAATGTTCAGTCTCATACTTTCTAGCTAGTTTGGGGGGATCGGAGCACAGGAAAACTGATACACATATTGATCATCAATGGTGTGATCCATTGACAGCTTTTAAAACAAGGTATCCGCTGACCAGTATCACTTGACTGTATCGCGGGCTCAGGTGTCGACCCATCGAGGTCAACTGTTTTTTGAAGTTATCCGCTGACAAAGTACTAGTTTTCAAATGATCGCAGGCTTAAGTTTAATTTTTTTTAAAATTCATATGAAATATGTTGTGTTTATGTGCCGCACAATTAAAATTTTGATTTCGAACTAACCTCGGACGCGAAAATTCAGCCAGCTGCTACAGGCAGGGAAGACAGTTGCTTTTGACTTTTCTCGCCATGTTCACGCGTTGGTCACGCTCTACGTCCAATTTTTATGCTCTGATTGGTCAAAATTTGACAGGTGAGTTCATGCGGAAAATTTAGGCAGCATCTTGAATCTTGTTTACTTTGACAGCTGAAGCTGACAGAGTTTTGCGTCAACTTGTGATGTTTTTAACTTTCTTTTTCCACTGGATGTACAAAATAAAATTCAGCTGCTATCAGGAGTCTTCTGTTATTCATGGCTAGTTTGTTTATTGGGTTTTTGGTTGAGTCAAAGTCGGAAATCCGATTTCGGATGGCATCGTTTTCGTTTTCATCTTGCTTAATGCGTAAGAGGGTTGCAAAGTCTGAAGCGATACTGGCCTTACTTGATACCTTTCAGGAGCAGCATCTCGAGTGGTAAGCCTAAGTAATTATTGTATTTGATGTTTGTTTTTAATTCCTAATTTAATGAAGTCGAGCGTAGTTTATGTGGGTATTTCGTTTACGCACGTTTGTAAGATTTGACACAATGATCTGACCGAGTATCAGGTTTGTTATAAGCTTACAGATCTTTCAAAAGCCTTTAGACATTTTCTCACCGCAAATAGAAAGAAAACGTTTCAAAGAATATTTAGCTATAATTCTGGCTGTAAAAAGAAAGGTTTGAGCGATTTTCTTGCCTCGAGTTCGTCTTTGAAAAAGAAAACACCGGGAAGCCGGCTTAAAACATAAACTTCAGCTTTAAGCTCGAAGACTCAGGATTTTTAGAGACACTTTAATACTTGTCTTCCTGAATGAAAATTGTCGTCTCAGTATATGTTTCACCGAATTACATTTCTTTTATTGATTGTTAGTACTCTCTCTTGTAATTTTAATCGTTGTGCCGATTGTTTTCAGTCGTTCAGTAAAAAACGCTTCCCGGAGTACTCAAAATGCCGCGCGTTAAACCGTTTTAAAATAAAAAACAAACATAATAAATTCTTTATTATGTTGGAGCGCAACTCTGTTAATGTTCATTCAAACACTTGCCACTGCTAGCACTGCAAAAGTCAGAACCGGCTGGCCGTATAGATGATTTTGAAAATTTTTTCAACGGTTTACGGCTAAAGCCCACACGTGCTTTGATCGTCCTGAATAGCAATTTGTATCGCAATATTGTGAAATACTGCATTCTGTTGTCCGAGGTCTGTATGATAAAACCAGTGCCTCATAGTACTGTTTCACCTCAGATGTGATGTATAAATGATATAAAAGGTTGGTTTACACGCACCCAGATTTGTTGGCAAGATTTTGTAAAATAAACTAGTCAAACGCAAAAAATTCGGCCGGAATTTTTTCCAGGCCTAATTAATCTACGGTGATCAAGAGCCATTATGGCTCTTAATAAATGTGATCGAAGATGATTGCCAGTTTTTGGGTGTACTTATGAGGCTATCAACTCGATGTGACATTTGGTTCACTCTTGGGCTGTTTGCAAATTATTTTTTGTAAAATCACTTAGCCTTTCCCTGAAAAGTCACGCGAATGTGCTCTAAAGTTAACTGAATTGTGGAATACAAGTTTATTGTTTGATTTAAATTATAAATTTATTAATGGGAGCCTCGCTTTTAGCCCTGGCTAAATCTATATATTAATAGCTACCAATAAAACCACAAGACAGATACCGTTTTAAAAACTTTATTAAAAACCAATAATAACAAAAAAAGAGTCAGATACACAGCGATTGAAAGGAAAAGGAATGAAAATTAATCCTTTGACTGACTATTACAAATCCGTTCTTTCCGTTCTATTTCGAGGAATAATAAATAATCCTTCCGTGTCTACACAATCTTCCTATGGCCTCTAAGCCAAGAGTTCGACTTTCTTTGTTTCTTGCGCTTTGTCTTGTTCTTTGAAGTCGGTCTTTTAGCTTTTGCATGCAAAATAAAAGCGGGCAAATTTTGAACGTGTTATCTTTGCAGATTATACTAAATGAAAAATCTTTAACATGATATTAATTTGAGGAGGACTCGGAAAAAAATTCCGAGTCCCAGATGGGATTTGAACCCACGACCCTCCGTGATCTAGTCGGATGCTCTAAGCACTTGAGCTACTGGAGACTCTATGGTGAGCAAGGGCCAATTTGTGGGTCTCGACTGGAACCGCATCACGCGGCTACACAGCCAAGTAATGACTGGCACACAAGAACTCACTAACAGCATACGCTGTCACCTTAAAGCATATCCAAGATGCGGCCAACCAACCTCCAAAGTGAGTATATTAAAGATGAAACGACAACAACATGATATTAATTTGAGGAGGACTCGGAAAAA